CCCCCCCCCCCCCCCCCCCCCCCACAGACACACAAACACAGCACCAGGGCAGGAATTAAACCCACAACCCACAGAGGTAACACTTTATTTCAGGGGGCAAAAATTATGCAGTAGTACACTTATATTTAATGCATTAATTAACCAGAAAATAAGTACTAGTTTTGTACTAATCTCATGTTTGTTCATTATTACTAAGTCATAACGGTTCATGTATTTCATGCAGTTACTGTATTTGTTCATTATTTGTACTTGAGTATTAACTGAGTTACTAAGGCTACATTCACATTATAAGCCACATTGTCCATTCCGATTTTCTGCTTAGATATGATTTGCCTGTCTTGATGGTTCACATTCATAATTACAAGTGACCTGTATCTAACTATAATTTGAACACATCTGTCCTCCTAAACAGCTTACATGCTCACATTGATACGTTTTTACGCAAGTCATCTGTACCACCAACAACCAAAAAATGCTCAGTATAGTGCAAACGTATAAGCAAAAAAACATATGACTTGTGATCGGTCACATGGCTATAAATCAGATACGGATCCAATCTAGAGCCACATATGAACGTGACTCAAATCTGATTTGTGTGCCCACACCATCCATCCATTTTCTGCAAGCACTTGTCCTATTCAAGGTCATGAGGGGCCCAGCGGGTATGGGTGCGGGGCAGGGATCACCCCAGGTTGGGGCAGCCCTGCATACCATTCACACATACAGGCAATCTGGTAACTCCAATAAGCTTCAGTGTGTTTCTGGATTGTGGGGGGAAACCAGAGTACCCAGAGGAAACCTTATAATGACATGGAGAGAACATGCAACCTCAACACACATGGAAATCTGGTCCCAGAGGTGATGGGGCAACAGGGCCATCCACTGCACCACTGTGCCGCCATCCACTGCACCACTGTGCCGCCATCCACTGCACCACTGTGCCGCCATCCACTGCACCACTGTGCCGCCATCCACTGCACCACTGTGCCCCCCTGTGTATCAATACAACCTGAAAAATAAGATCGGAGTCACATTCAGGCAAAACATCAGATCTGAGTCATTTCAGCTTTTTAGGGTGAATGTAGCCCAGGTTACTTGTGCTTCTCACATATAGTGTTACTCCCACAAAATAATACTAAATAATATTGTGAGCTCACCGTTTATTCCTGATAACATGTTTCTCTTGCTGATTCTTTATCTGGAACAGAAAGTTTAATTAAACAGCAAGCTAAAAACGACTGAATAGCTAAATCTTTGAAATGGTTAGGGAATTCAATTTTATTTTATTTGTATAGCACATTTTCACAACATTGCATTGCCTCAAACGCTTTACATTTTCCCTGCCCACAGCCCCCAGTGAGAACCCAGAGGCGACAGTGGCACGGAAAAACTCCCTAGAAGGAAGAAACCTCGGAAGGAACCAGACTCTAAGGGGGAGCACATCCTCCAGGGGCCGGCAGAGGAAGTCAAATGAGCAAGATGACGAAGTCCCAATTCACAC